TTCAATAAGCGTGAATTATGTTCGAAAATGACACCTTTTATTAGAAGTGAGTGGAGGAGCTCATTAAATCAAATGTAATCTCACACGTAAAAATTAATATTAGACATGGTCAAATACGACAGCTACATTCACCGGAAAATAGACTAATCCTACGAGTGATCCTTCTTCTAGACACTGCATGTAATGTAGTGGAATATCCTTTGATGTAAGTTATGCATTTATCATAATTACACGTCATTGATCTTGGTTCTTTATTGATAGAACTAACAGCATAAAATTAAAACAAGGCAATAACCACATTTCTTTTTATCTTGTTCTTCTTTAAAAGAAATAAACCAAGATGGCAACTTTATAAAGTCGTGCTTAGCGTGGCGTTACACATCCAAAAGTTTTGTTGGTCAACATCACAGGTAGTGAGTAGAGGTAACGTGCGTAAAATCAGTCTAACTTTTGGTTTATTTTCTAGTGCATGTAATGTTTCCACCATCATCACACAATAGAGCCTTGTATTGGAAGGAATATTGAATAGTCTAATGAAAATGGTAAACATTTAAAATAGTATGCCTTGTGTTACAACATTTTAAACCTCTTCTAGCTAATATATTTACAGTATTCAAAATACTCGCAAGAGCAAAACCAAAAAAAACAAAAAAGAAGTCTATTTAAAAACGTAAATATTACTTATTTTTCTGGTTTTTCACTCTTAAACTTAAAAACATCGTTTTGATAAAGTCTTTGCAGGAATAAAATCGTTGATCTGAATGAAACAATCGAGGAGTTCGTTACTTGGAAAATCGGATGAGGAAGACGAGGCGGCTTTTTGGCGAATTGTACGAAGTCATCGAAGTTCAAAAAGTACAATTTGAGTTTTCCATTGAATGTCATTTAGAGTAACACTATGATATATCGAGAATTGAACTATGAGGTTTGTCCAATGATATCCTTGTATTTTCAAATTTAATGCTTTTTATGAAATTTTATTGGATGGTTTTTGTCGTTATATCTTCGATGCACCACAATGTAATTTAGCGATCTGTCGTATCCGAACATAATTCACGCTTATTGAAACTAAGGAAATTACCCTTACAATAACACTTACTAGTAAATAACATCATTTCTTGATTCGGATGTCACAGTACTAAAACTAGAAAACTCTTAATTAAGCTACTTTACCCCAGAACAACTGTTAGACCCACGTCAACTATAATCCCATAGTAAACTTGAATAATATAAATAAGAGCCACTCTTTATCAATAAAAAGGATTAATTCAGTCTTACTGTATCTTATTGTCTCTTGCTACTTTTAATATTACCACACGATCATCCAGATCATTGCAGTAAGCCAGACACCGCTGCTTTAACCGTAACCGTAACAGAACGAATTATATCGTGCCTTGATTTAGCCCAGATCAAACAGTATAAATAGAACCCTCTTTTTCATTGTATTTTCTATTATCTCATTACTCAGGAGCAAATGAATTCTTGTTTGTCTCTGTCGTTTGTCTTACTTAAATCTACCACAAGTTATCTCACCATTAGCTTAACCCAATAGATCGTACGAAAGTTATTACTTCTCCTGAGCCTTTCTGTACGTGTGTATTTTTCCAGTTGTACCAAAGCGCAGTTTAAGTCAGATCTAATAAGCTGACAAGAAAGCTATTGGTGTGCCGTGATTGAAGTTACTCCAAGGATTAAATATAGACTTTAATGTAACTGATGCTGCATAGTGTATCTCTTCAAATACTACAGAACTTTCATTCTTTTCTGTTAGTTACCCGGATCACCATCGTTATTCTTGTCGAACGAGTTATTCTATAACTAAGTTGATTAATTTTTTTTTTGAAAAAGATATAAATAAGAAAAAAAAAAAGAAAATAAGTAACAGGTAGAACGCCATCAATGTATAAATTACTTTTAGTTACTCTTCTCACGTTGTTTGCCTATGTAACTTGTGACAACAACTGGATTAGATTCAAGATCTCTCAATGGCCTAACAATTATGATGAAACCATTTACTACTCGGTTTCAATAAATGGTGGAAAAGAATTTAGCTGGGGAAAAGGTGTTAAAATGTATTCTGATGGAAATGAGAGCTGCAAGAATGGACTTTGTATTAAAACATACTTTGATTCTGGCTATATTGATTTTTCTTATGCTGGAAAAGGGGCAAGTCATCCAAACACTTGGCGAAGAACAATTGAATGTGCTTTTTGGAATCCTAAGACAGAAAAATGCTTGATCAAGAGAGGCGCTTATTTGATGTCTGACTATAGAGAATTGCCATTGGAGTAATTTTTTTTAAAAATAAAAACCCTTTTTGGACCCTTGATCTGAATGTTCATCCTTTTTTGGAATCGAAATATTGATCTTGGTCTTTATCTTTTTTGAAAGAATCTTTTTGAAAAAAGAAAAAGAGAATCGTTATCTTGATTTGTTGCTATACTTTGGAAGAGTCTTTGATTGCAAGTTTGAAAATCTCTTATTAAAAGCATATGTTTTGAGATACTCTAAGAATGAATAATGTTGTTGTGATCAACAATAGAATTAACACATCAAAGAATAAATCCACTAGTTAGATATCCGACGATAGCCCCTTAGACAACATGGTGTTGTTAAGAATGTAGAAAACAGAGCAGTTAGGATCATCAACCACAAGTAAATTCATCAAGCATGTAGATACAAGCTATGCAGTAGACTTTTAAATTATTGACTATAAATACCCTTTGAAAGTATTGACCTATCTTTTGATAATATAAAACAAATACAAAGAGACTGATAACAATACACGCTATAAACATATGTAATGCGACATACTTAACTCTCATTGGTCATAATTAAATCGAGTTGTTATATCATTCACAGTTGCCCATTTAGATGTAAGAAGTTCTTAGCATCTTCTTGGCCCCCCCAAAAAGGCACGGAGGTCGGAGAGAGGTAGTCGATTGGGAGCTGGGAGAGCTAAGGGTTACTTACCCGCCCTCTCTTTTTAGTTGACTTTAAATAAAATCCAGACTACCAGCTCACCAGTGCTCCCTTATACAAAGCAAAACAAGTATCAAATTAGAGAAAGTTATTGAAAACAGTACAATTCTATTTAGAAAAGTGTCTAATTTAAAAAAGAATAACTATCAAGAGATTGAGGATTACTCTGAGGAAAGAACTTACAAAGCGAAATCAAACTTCATAACGAATATCACGAGCGAGTGTATTTTCATTTTTTAGCCCTATTGTTTACCTGCACCAATTATCTTTCCTATTTGAGCTAAACATTTATCAGCGTATAATGGCTGTTTATTGTTTAGATGCATAAAATTGGAATGTAGATGTTGATTAGATGGTTCAGTCAATGTAATTTAGATGGGCTTATCATGCACGTATTTACTATTTTGTACAAGTTGGTTATATCTTCTAATATTTTTCCATAGAAAAGGCTCCATTTTTGCGTCATTTGGTTTACTAATGTCTAGATTTTCCCAAATTCTTTTATATGCTTGTAGAATGGCTTTGTTGCGAGTAATTGGATCGCCTGGCTGAAGGCTCTCAGCATCTTCCTCTCTTGCTGATAGCCGAAGTAATTTTATGGGTGTTATTATGTTGCCATTATCCTCGTCAAAGGGACTTTTCCGTTTTTTTCCTTTCCTTTCTTCTTCAAACATTTGTTCAAATTGTTGATGGTTGTCCTGATTATTCAAGAAAGGCTCATTCATTTTATTTTATTTTTTTCTTTATAAAAGAGAAAGAGAGGAAGAGGGTATAGATTATTTACAAAGTTGCGTGTATATGTTTGTGTGTATGAATGAAGAAAAACAAAGAAAAAAAAAAAGAGCTAAGACCTATCAAACCAACATTTGATTAAAGGCATAAGCTCCTCTCCTAGTTGTTGTCCAGTAAGCTATATATAAAATAATTGGGTTAATATAAAATAAAAGGGGAAACTAAATGATCATAGAGACTCACGGTATAATATGTATCACATAAGGAGTTCTTTACCAGATTCATATTTTGAATAATTTCATCGTCTTGTAAGTCTGAAGAAAGCATGATAACCAAGCACAAATCTTTCTCAATCATGTTATCCTGTATTTGATCACACATGTTTGGCCAAACAACCATTTTCATTGAATTTAGCCCAATAATTGTAAATGGTGACCACGTAGTATCATCCTCTTCTTCATCCTCCAAATCATTCATTTCCTCCTCTTCTGTTTCTTCTTCTACTGTCGTATGAGAAAAGGGCATGTCATGAACTACAGTAAACAGTGACTGTAAGATACTAACAAACATTGGTAAGCGTTCCTTTAAATAATCAGTTGAAGGGGATAGAAACTGAATAATATCTGATTCTGAATCAATTTCGCTCGTAAGTGCCTTTTTAGAATATAAGCAAAAAGAGGGTAAAGGAAACTGGTTATCTTCAGTCATGATGCTTTTTGAAGTGGTGTTCTTTGTTGAATTGCTGTTCAATGAATGTAAAGAAGACAATGTTGGACATGAAGCAGTTTTGTAATGACCCATTTAAAAAAGAAAGAGAGAAAAAAGTGGTGTCGTTTTACATTTTCATTATTTATTTCCGTAAAAGGAAATTGATAGACATTTCTTCTATATGGTAAATAATGAACATTGCGCAAAATTAAACAAAAATGACTCAAGAACATCTGTCCTTCCAAGCATTTTTTTTTTTTTCTTCGATTATTCTAACAAGTGTCTATGCAGCGCTAACGGTACCAAATGGCGGCTTTGTATACTTCATTTAGCGTTTTATAGTTTGGATGAATTAAAACGATTTATTTATAGAGTAAGCTACTTTAGATGGGCTGTCTTTCTAAACATTTATCAAAGACGCTGACAGAGTGTTGAATGACATTTTGAAGATGGCGGACGAGAACATTGTTACTGGCTTCTGTTATTTTAGTTCGTAAATCTTCCTTATTCTCGAACTGGCTACGTCTTATTTTGTTCTTTACAATAACCCAGAACTGTTCAATGGGATTGAGCTCTGGTGAATAGGGTGGAGGGTATACACATTGATAACCTCTGTTCTCAATCACTGTTCTAATTTCATCAGAGGTATGAATGGTCGCGTTGTCCATGACCAGATAAAAGCTTCTCATTTCAGGAACCTCATCCATATAGTTCATTGAGTTATATGCAAATCTTAAATAATGGCCAGTTACAATTCCTCTGGACACTGGATCTTTTAGCTTGGGTATTTTTCTTTTGCGGATTCCAGCTACCTTAACTTTCTTTGGTCTTTGAGGTACTCTTATGTCTATATTTACAACCTCTTTCGTGCAAGTTGCGCCCAGGATTGTGTATGATACTGCTTGGGTGGTGGGTGTGGTGACTACAGCTGGAGTGTTGCGCTCAGAACGGGCATAAGCAGGTCTCATATTAATATCAAATCCAGCTTCGTCAGTAAAAACACAGTTCTGAAGAAAGCTCATATTTAACTTCGCCATGCCTTGCACCCATTTGATACGATGATCAAGTTTTGTGTCACTGTTTCTTGCAACAGGATGACGAGTGACTCTCTTTATTGATAAGTTGCACTCATTTGAGATGAAGGATCCAACGACAGTGCTCTTCAAACTGAATCCTTCAAATACTTTTGTCAGGTCATCAACAACGTCTTTGATGGTGGCAAAAGGATTGTTGTCGTACAGTTCTCGAATGTAGTTCTTGTGTCTTTCTTGAAGCCGACTTTTCTTTCTGTTGACTCTGTTGGTCTGCTTCTCGTAAATATCCCACTCAGGGCCCTCCTTAAGTCTTTTAGCCCAGTTTTGTGCCGTGCGTTCAGCGATAGCAGCCATTCTACCTGCAGGTGCAGCCTTATACAGCTTAATTTATGAAACAGATACTTCTTCCGGAGACGATGAAGATATTTGCATTGAAGGGGTATTTGGTGGCAGTGAAAATTTCTCTCCCCCTTATAGTTACTTGCTCCCTCTACTTATGTATAATTGCTTGACACATATAAATAAGATACTGTATTATTCAATTTGTATCAGTGGGTTTTAGTCACATGCTTTTTATTAACCACATGACATGAGGAAATAAGTTAATAGACAATTTAAATGTTTGGAGCAAGAATGTCGCTATGCGAGGGATATTAGTTACAAAGTACTCTATTTCTAGTGTCCTTACCATAGCTGCATCCATTCTTCCTCTCGGGTATTTCGCATAAGGTAAGTTCTAAGTTCTAAGAATATCCATACTTTAATCCAATGTCCCTTTTTCAATGTTGGATCCTTCTTGATCTCTTCTAACGCTGCCTTGCCTCCTTCCTTCATGCTATAATCACGTAAAACAGGTAACGCATTCTTGAATAAATCTAAATCTGGGTTCAACTGTCTACCAATGCCTTCAAGCAGCATAATGCTAACAACTACATTGACAAAGTCTCCTTCCAACTTGACATGATGTGCACGAACCATATTCATTGTTTCATGTAATAAGTTACCAATTTTTACTGCTCCTAAATTAAACGTGCTTTGCTTTAAACCAAGGATAAGGTTTTGCATCCTCAGAGCAAATACGTCTGGTTGAACAACTTGTTCGGGTGATCGACTTCTCTCTACCATTAGTTCGCCTGTTTTATATCCATCAAATGTGGCTACCGCTTGAAATAAATCTAAAAAGTTCCTTCTATTGACTGTATTTAATTCTGTCACTAGTCCAGTATCGATGAAAACAAGCTTAGGAGCATATCCTTCTTGCTTTAACGCCTCCAACTCATTTTGCATCGCAGCTGGATCATTCTTTACGGACAAGACACGCTCAACTGCCTTTTCTCCTTCGTCTTTTAATTCTCTACCTAATAGCTTGGCCCATGCTGCTCGTAGTGGATGGTACACTTCAGGCTTGTAAAACTTTACCATGATATTTCCGGGATGAAGGTCTGCATGAACAAAATTATACACTATAAGCATGTGCTATAAAAAGCCCAGGGCTTTAGTGCAATCATGAAAATGCTAATATGGGTCAGTACTTACTAAGAAGGCATCTAGGCCGATATGTGCGAGTTTTTCATTAAATGAGTTGTTTTCATTGTTTTTCCTTGTATATATTGCTTGGGCCAAAAATATATCAAGCGGGACACCATGTTCGTATTCTTCCAATAACATGTCTTTGGTCGTAAATGCGAGTAATGGCCGAGGAAATTTGACATTACGCGTATCTTTAAAGTAATGATTAAATCTAGCCAAATTGCGACCCTCTCCTCTTAAATCCAGCTGCTCTTTCATCATCTCTCCAAATACCCTGACCTCATCTGGTAAAGAGAGCCAGTGGATAGTTGGTATCAGGGTTAACAATCGAGCACAGCAATCCATAATAATCAAATCTCGCTGAACGATCTGTCTTGCTTTAGGGTGTAATATTTTGATGGCTACAGAGGTATGCAAATTGATAGGTCTTCCTTTTTCATCCGATGTCTGGACGGTATCCGCCGTGATCACATTATTTTGGAGCGCAGCTCTCTCTATTTCGTGTTCTAGGATTATCTGTGGCCGTAACTTGGCTTTATACACCTGTGCAATAGCGCCAACACCTAGAGGCTCTCGATCAAGTTCTGAAAAGATTTCGTCAAGTGGTCTTCCGAAAGATTCCTCTATAACTCTTTTTGTATAACTAAATGGATGAGGATCAACGTTCGAATGTAGTTTAGACAGTCTTATGCATAGAGCAAGCGGGAATAGATCGGTGCGTGATGCGATCCATTGAGCAAGCTAATAGAAAAAGAGGGGCAGAGTGTCAATGATTACACCATTCGGTTGTAGTAAGTTTACCTTAATGAACGTTGGCCCCGCTCTTTCCATTTGCTTTGCAAGGAAATCAAACCACCATAGTGTCCCTGAACGTTCACCTTCGATAGGATTATATTTGCCAAAATAAACAGATGGCGCTGTAAGGACTATGGGGATGAATAATATCAAAATGTGTGCTAAACGTCTTAGAGTCAACACTGGTTCAATTATCCAATCGTCCAATAGTTTTACAACCCGGAGACAAAGGCGAACAATAAGATACTCTGACTCATAATTTGCTTCGGCTATTTCTATCTCTTGAGGTGTTGCCGGGTGATCAATCGACCCTATCCTAATAGCTTTATCATGTTTACTGTGAAGGTAAAAGGGTGTTGCAGCTGATAATGCAGTAGTTGGTATCACATAGAGTGCTGGTTTGTGTGCTAATGTTGCTTTAGACAGTACACTTTGACATGTTGTTTTTCGGAAAATCAGTCTGTGCTGTACTTTGTTGCAATGGGTTGTGATTCTTGATAAATTTCTTTGTAAAGGTACTCTAAGCATTATCAATAAAAATAAAAAAAGGCAAAGAAGGAAAAAAAAAAAGATAACGAGTTAACCAAGTTCAGCAAAGGGTAATGATTACACCATTAACTTAAAATGACGAAGAGACGATCTGGGATTGAAAAGGAGACGACATTTGAAATGCGTAACAGACATGGCCATAGTTTGTTCAAAGGTAAAATATCATAAAGCCCTTTGATAATAATAGTTGCACTCATAGGCTTACAGAGAGGCTCAACAATTACATGAATACAAATATATTCGCTTTTGCTGTCTTTATTCGTTTATTGAGTCTAATAGCCATTATGAAATCATAACAACAGACTGCTACAATGTCACTACCGAAACTTTTAAAGACTGTTAATGACTTATCATAATCACAGAAAGATTTACAATTGCTGCAGATGTTCGAATACTATACCGAACTTGGTTTGTATAATGCGCACTTAATGATGGACATGTTAAAGGTATATAGGCTTCTACTTTAAACTAATGTAATAGCCCTAAACAGGCTGTTAAGGCTATCTACCTGTTGTTATGAGCACCAGATACTGTCAATACAACAAAAACAATAGCTTCCCAACGCCTCTTCTATCGGAGTTGATGATTCCGTGTATCTTCAGAATTATTAGTACCAACAAAGAATAACTTCAGGGTCTTTAAAAACACGAGATTATTTTTATCGATGGGGCTCTGTCGAAAGATGTACTGCAATCATTGGGACAAAGAAGGACATACTTGTATTGAAGCACGAATTATTCAATTTGAAGCAGTTTCTTCTCTTTTTATTCATGGATTACACATACTTCTCTCTCACTGTTTTCACTACTGCTGAAAGTCAACGTACCCATAACCAAAATATCCTTTTAGCATCATGCACGTTAAAGGAGGCAGCATGGGCAGCACTCACTGACAACAGTTTGAAGCATAGTGATTTCCTTAACTTACAACCCAAGCATCTGAAATTAATAAAGACATACCAAGATGTATTAGCCCCAAGGGGTATCCCCCTAGAGAGACAACACCAAAGGTTACATGTCATGACCTTTTAAGGTAATACTGATCATCACAAAATAAATATCTTTTTCAAACAGGTGCAAAAACCAAGACCATATCGTTCTAATGGTAAAAAGAGAAAAACTTTGGAACCATGATCTTGCTGTTATCTGACATATCCCTCATATCGTTACAGAATACATGCTCACAGCCAGTTATCGCTGTGGGAAACCCATGATGCAGGTAGAGTATTTTATATTTAGCTGATTGCCTACAAAATAAAATGACAATCATACAGCTTATTAAATCGTATATTGATTGTTTTGGTTGCATTGACAACCTCTTGTTATTTAATGTGAAGTAACCATAAAGACATTTGAAATTATCTTTTGGAAACGATGTTGACTTATTGTCTCCTTTTTTTTCTATCTGTGGTATTTGCATGTTTAACAGCACATAGTTAAAAAGCATAATAGTCATGTATTTACAAAAAAGATATAAACTAATGTAAATACCAGTTGTAAAATAAAGTTACAAATTGGGCTAAACAGTATATTAAAATAAAATGCTACGAGTGAGGTTTATTGAGCTATGGCACTTGCTTATATTCTTGCAACTAAAGTGTACCAAGTATATTCATTCAGAATAAACAAATACGATTGCTCATCGCTCACAGCACAGGTAGTGCAGTTGCAAAGATTTTAATTTAATTTAATCGTTTTAAGTTGGTAATGCATTGCCTCTCTGTTAGGATTATCGATGTAACATTTAAAAAGGCACTGTTGTCTATTCTATTTAAAGCAATTATTCTAGTTCATTCTATAAAACACTGATATTTATATTGTATGCTACTATTAACGTTACTTCCATCGGACATAGACACAATAGACACAAACAAACAAAAAGTAATATATGTGTGTTGGACGTCAGCGCAGCAGACATAAACAAAAACAAAAAAAAAAGCAATATACGTGTGCTGAATATCAATGTTATAGATGTAAGCAAAGCAAAAATATATGCATGTTAGATAAGATATCTATAATGAACATATTAAATATGTAAACACATACAATCGATACAAGAATAAAAAGGACGCTGTAGCATTCTTTCTTTCCCCTTCATTCACAAAAAATTAGAATAATGCGTTCTACTCTTATATCTCTTGCCTTGGTTGCTACTTTTGCTCTTGTTTCTGCTCTTCCCAGTAACACCAATGCTGATGTTGTTAGACGGGATACTACTCTTGCCAAAAAGTCTACTGCTGGTGCCATCTATCGTCGTGCCTTGAACAGAGAAGTATCCAGAGTTGTCCGTCGCGATGAAAACGAAGACGAAAACGAAGAAGAAGAAGATGATAAAGGTGATGAGGATGAGGAAGAGTCATCCTCCCACGAACGTCGTGATATCGACGAAATCCTCGAAGGTATCTTTGATAGTTAACTGTATCTCAATCCATTCTATACAATTTGAAATAAATGATAATAAAGCTCTCATTTTCATAATTTTGTTTCTTATGTCTATAAATTATATAAACAGAAGAATGAACATTTAAGAAGCAATGACTGTATATCACATAAAGCAAAAAAAGAAGGAGGGATCAAGAATAAGTTGATATTGTATTTTCACGATAGACACACATTAGGTTATGTGTTCACGATGGGTATTAAAATAAACCCATGATCAATTTCATCTAGCCTTAAAAGACGTTATCATATTGAAACTAGTATCCAACACAAGAATAGTTAACGAGGTATGCTTGGGTTTGCAAGTGAACATTAAAAAGAAGTAGAAATCATTACAAAGATATTTTTTTTTTTTGTAGGGGCGTTTTTAGCCAAGGTTTATTTTTTTAAATAAATAAAATAGCCACTTGAAATCAGTGGTGGACTATTGAAAGACAG